TCTTACTTGGGAGTGTCATATCAATGAGCTTTCCAAAAAGATTGCTTCTGGCATTAGCGCCATTAAACGTATTAGGTATTCGGTTCCATACAAGGCTTTACTTTCCGTTTACAATTCATTAGTCCAACCTCATCTCGATTACTGCAGTTCGGTGTGGGTCTCCTTCAAGCCCCTCTTCTCACGTCCATTCTGTCCCTCCTAATATATTTTCCTTTAATACTCAAACATTGATTCCTAGCAAACGTGGCTTTAAAATGGCCTGCTTAAACATCACTAGTCTCCCGAGACATATCGACGAGCTTCGCATCATTTTGCATAGTAAATGCCTCGATCTAGAGATCTAGAGAATGATGTAGGACTTTTAGATCAAGATCATCGTATACATGTATCTCTACCAAAGGCTGATGAACATGGGAACCATACCATTGGCAAGGTAAGCTATTCAGTTACACAACCGTGAAAAGATGAATTAGACATTTGTCAAGCTTGTTAGTGCTAAAAACATTTCACTATTTTCAGTAAACACAAATCGTGACCTGTTGCGAATCTGAGAAAGTAATTTATTATCTTCTGATAAACAAGTTCGCCTCTTAGCATTAAACTTAATCAGGAATTATAAAAGTCTCATCTACAACCTGTCAAAGACACAGCATAAGGAAAAAATAATATCATGAGACCAATATACCTGCCGTGTTCTTGGAAGGGTAACTCCAGGAACTCATAAATCTAGTTTATTTGGCGGTCTCTGTGAAGGCGTAAGTAGGGCTTTAAATAAGTGCTGACGGTCTATAAAATCACTCTTGTTTTAACTGGATTTTCAATCATGAAGTCTACAACTGTCACTTAGTTGTACTTACTTCTTTATGACTAGTATGACTAAATGATTTATTACTGGAACTCTGCTTTTTTCTGGCCTTTTTTAGGGTAGTGGACTCATGCAAAAGGTTGACGACAGCATTATAGAGCGCATATATGAGCTTGTCGGGGAAGGAGTACGATCAGTTGGCGAGATGGCGAGGCATTTACAGCTATTTGTCAAGTCTCAAATGTTTGCAGGCCGGACTCCTCCAGACATAACAGGCGATTTTATCCCACCAAGACGGATATAAGAAATCACATGTACAGGGCCTCCCAATCCCAGAGATTCTCGAAAATAGACCAGAAAGATGTCCAATGTAAACTGGAAGAGTGGCAACGGAAATATTATGATGACTCCTTCCTTTTTCATCCATGCACGGAGCCAGATGATGGGGCCAGTGATGTAGTCATGAATTGCACCCTCGACAGTGAAGATGATGACGGTACAATACCGGATTAAATAGAGTTGACTGGAACGGAGAAAGAATCAAGAGATGCTTCTACTTCTTTGATATTTTTTTAATCAGACCAAATGGCTAAAGGACATGCTCCTTCGGTATGTTTGATAGAAAGTAACTTATTTTCAAATAGTAGTTTAAAGAGAGATAGGTTCCAAGTGTAGCGCAGATTGAAGGAAGTTCGCGCTAATTGTTTCCGCGCATCCTTACGCCACGTCATGCATCGATCGCGCGCTAAGTAATAAAATGAACAGTGATAGGGCAGATGGTCATTGCTTTAGCTTTGCCTGGATTTAACGATCTTGGACGTTCGGTGACCCCTATTTTGCTTTTAAGGGTTCAATTCCTCTACCGATTTTCTAAGTTTAGCAAAAAATTAAGAAAATCTATCGATTAGAGCAAAATGCACCATCGAATTCCGTTCTTTTTAGTTCATCGTTTATCTGTGCGGAGACCCTGGAGACCATACTGATTTACGCGCGCCAATTTTTCAAAGTCAGGACTAGTTTTCCACACGCTTTATCTATGAAACTTAGTCCGTGAACCCCAGTTTTTTCATTTCTGAAACAAGTAGTGCATTATCTGTCCGAAGAAGAAGTTTGAAGAAGATCTATCGAGGTGAACATTTTCGTGCGAACGTTTAAGTGTTCGTTGTCCGATCCGCTCATTTGTAACAGGTTTTAAGCTCCCCTCCCCTGGGTGTGAGCTCCCTAATTATTAACATCGGCTATAAGCCGGGAGCATATAAGCACAGTAAATAATTGCAATAAGAGACAGCTTAAGAATGTTTTCTGTTTTTTCTGTTCCTAGCTACGGAAATAACCTGTATCTACTTGATGCCACATACAAGACTTCTCGTTACGCCCTGCCATTATTCTTTTTGCGCGTGAAAACTAATGTAAATTACACTGTTGTGGGATCGTTTGTGGTACAGATGGAATCTAGGATTGCCATCTCTGAAGCCCTGGCAATGTTGGCGAAGTGGAATCCACTGTGGACGCCTAAACATTTCATGGTTGACTTTAGTGAGCCTGAAATTCAAGCCCTCGAGAACACTTTCTCAGGTAGGTAGGCCGGGATGACTGACTGAACAAAGATATCTAGATGTAGGAGAATGTTTGTTTACAATTTTGGCCTCATCAACATTAAGTACTGCAGTTTCCGGAGTAACAGAAACATTTAGATATCTCCTGAAAAGAAATCATTTCGGCTAACAAGACCAAATGTCAGAAACAAATTTTGAAGTTGATATGAAACATTTGAAAGTACTGGTGAAATGAAACAGATGATGAAATTTTACCTGTCTTTGCACGATTTTTCTGAACTTTGAAATTTATTTTGATTAAGTTCCCATGGGCAATTGGTTTTGGTGTTATTTCAGGCAACTATTTACATCTTTAGCTTTTATTAAATGCAAAAAAGGACTGTATTGTACTGAAAATTATTCTGATACAAGGTTTATGTGTTCTAAAAATTTAAAATTGCTCGATATTGCGTCTTATAGGGGTGTATAAAGGCGTATAAGGGTGTATAGGACTTTATACGGGTGCATAGCGCTGGATAGGGGTGTGTAGTGCTGTGTAGGGGTGTATAGTGCTGTATAGGGGTGTATAGTACTGTATAGGAATGTATAGTGCTGTATAGGGGTGTATAGTGTTGTATAATAAATAATAATAAATATTTATATAGCGCCTATCCATGCCTGCTCTAGGCGTGGCTTGTATCGTGGTGTATAGTGCTGTATAGTGCTGTATAGGGGTGCATAGTGTTGTTTAGTGGTGTATAGTGCTGTATAGGAATGTATAGTGCTGTAAAGGGTGTCTAGTGCTGTATAGGGGTGTATAGTGTTGTATAGGGGTGTACAGAGCTGTATAGGGGCGTATAGTGCCGTATAGGAATGTATAGTGCTGTATAGGGGTGTATAGTGCAGTATAGGGGAGTGTAGGGGTGTATAGGGGTTTATAGAGCTTTATAAGGATGCATAGCGCTGTATAGGGGTGTAGTGTTATATAGGGGTTTATAGTGTTGTATAGGGGTGTATATTCCTGTATAAAGGTATATAGCGTTGTATAAGGGTGTATAGTGCTGTATAGGAATGTATAGTGCTGTATAGGGGTGTATAGTGCTGTATAGTGTGTATAGTGCTGTATAGGGTTGTACAGTGCTGTATAGCGATGTATAGTGCAGTAGAGTGGGTATAGTACTGTATAGGGGTTTATAAAGCTGTATAGGGGTGTATAGAGCTGTATAGGAGTTTACAGAGCTGTATAAGGGTGTATAGTACTGTATAGGGGTTTACAGAGCTGTATAAGGGTGTATAGTACTGTATAGGAATGTATAGTGCTGTATAGGGGTTTATAAAGCTGTATAGGGGTGTATAGAGCTGTATAGGGGTTTACAGAGCTGTATAAGGGTGTATAGTGCTGTATAGGAATGTATACTGCTATATAGGGATGTATAGTTCTGTATAGGGGTGTATAGTGTTGTATAGGGGTGTATAAGGGTTTATAGGGCTTTATAGGGGTGCATAGCGCTGTATAGGGGTGTATAGTGTTGTATAGGGGTGTATAGTGTTGTATAGGGGTGTATAGTGCTGTATAGGGGTGTATAGTGTTGCATAGGGGTGTATAGTGTTGTATAGAAGTGTGTATAGTGTTGTATAGGCATGTATAGTACTGTAGAGAGGTGCATAGGGGTGTATAGGGGTTTATAGGGTTTTATAGGGGTGCATAGCACTGTATAGGGATGTATAGTGTTGTATAGGGGTGTATAGTGGTGTATAGGGGTGTATAGTGTTGTATAGCGGTGTATAGTGTATAGTGCGGTATAGGGGTGTATAGTGATGTATAGTATTGTATAGGGGTGTATAGTGCCTTCTAGGGATGTATAGTGCTGTATAGTGGTGTATAGGGGTGTATAGTTTTGTATAGGGGGCGTATAGTGCTCTATATGGTTGTATAGTGCTCTATAGGGCTGTATAGTGCTGTGTAGGGGTGTATAGTGCTGTATAGCGGTGTGTAGTGTTGTATAGGGTGTATAATGGTGTAAAGGGGTGTATAATGGTGTATAGGGGTGTATAGTACCGTATAGACGTGTATAGTGTTGTATAGGGGTGTATGGTGCTGTATAGAGGTGTATTGTGCTGTATAGTGGTGTACAGTGCTGTACAGGGGTGTATAGTGCTGTATAGTGGTGTATAGTGCTCTACAATGCAGTATAGGAGTGTATCGTGCTGTATAGGGATTTATATAATAACCCAGGTAATTCTCGCATTTTGTTTGGTTCTCGCCTATAATCTATTAGAGGACAGACGCACGATTGACGTCATCATTTCAAAGTTTTTCCCTC